GATCATTTAACATGCACGTACAAGAGGAAGCAGGGGGGGCTGAAGGAGGAGGAGGGGGAGGAGTTGGAGGGTTTCGACGCAATGCAGACCGGCTCCACTAAAGGACGCCGCCAGAACTTCTTCACACAGCACAAAACAGGGGCGCCTGTGTGCCAGCACTGCAGACTGCGAGCACACACAGATCTTCCAAAGTCTCTAACTGTGACAACTCCGATCACGTTTCGCTTGGAAAAATTCTAGTGAGATAGCTAAATATCCTGATTGGCTGAGTGGGTCTTTTATCTAAAATTTATAGTTATTGTTTTGGATTTTTCTTTTCTGATATTGACTGGAGAATTACGGCTTGTTTGTGGAATAATATAGTTGCCTGCTTATCATGAGGAGAACGAAAAACGTTCTGCAAAAGACTGAGAACACTTTCAGCACCATGGATAGCGCAAATAACGTCCCATACTCGGAAAAACCTAAATATCTCTCATTAAGAAGATGGAACACAGAGTGCTGTGTTCAGGCACATTAATCTAAAGTCAAAAGGAAAGGAAAAGTAGAAGAGAAAATAGTCCTAACCATTGAGGATAACTTCAGCCTGATTATGGTTGCAACAAAAGCCCGTCCAAGAGTTCAAAGGAAATCAGATGGAGAAGACTTTAGCTGGACTTAGTAGCACTAACACAAGACAATGACATGCCCAGCAGCCCCATTCCCTACAACTTTGACTCCCCTCATAGTAAGGCAGACCCCAGTGTGAATGCTACTTTGAAATAAACTTACTTTTTTTGGTTTGTTTTTTGGCTTTGAATATTAAATTAAATCTAAAATGTCGAAACTATGTTAAAAAGGGGGAAGGACATCTATCTATCTATCTATCTATCTATCTATCTATCTATCTATCTATCTATCTATCTATCTATCTATCTATCTATCTATCTATCTATCTATCTATCTATCTATCTATCTATCTATCTATGTGTGTATGTGCGTGTCTGTGTGTATTTTTGTGTGTATATATATATATATATATATATATATATATATATATATATATATATATATATATATATATATATATATATATATATATGCACCATGCCCACATATTCTTAAGTGGAGAAAATAATATTTACTATAACTTTCATGATTTCTTACTTACAGTTTTTTTAGATGCATTCAGGCACCCCATTAAAAAAATATATATTTATTTTTATCACATTTAAAAATATACAGACATAGAAATCATGCATGTTGGCATATTGAAGCTCAAGGAGTTTTTGTTTTCAGCCCAATGCAAAAACAAAATCTTGACATTCCAGTCTACAAAAATTCAAGTCACAATATTGCATTAGAAGCATAAGAACAGGAAGTTACAAAGTTACAACATATTTACACAGGCCTTTTTTACTTGAATTAAATAACAAATTCAAAATAAAATCGTGCTTTCTGCAAAACACCAGTGTCCATTTTATAGTCTCTTTAAGTCACATTTTTATACAAATGTTAAAAATTTTATCCATTAGATTTTGGAGGAGAAGAGAATGCCCCGCAATGTTGCGACCGAAGGAACCAAAAGCTTTATTTGTTGTCTGCCTCCTGCAAATAAAAGAAGAAACTCCATTAAGTTATTGCATGAAATTAGAGAGGTGCTTCAGTCAGTCAAAGTTATAGCAAAGTAGCTGCACTTTAAAGAGCTTTAAAGTGCAGCTGTATCAGTCCTCCACAGAGTGGCGCTAATGTGTTACCTATTTGATCAGGCTTGATTGTTGCTGTGCATTGCAGAGATTCAATAATACTGAAAAAATAAAAACTAAGAGTACAAAAAACATGGAAATCTGCTTTTTGAATCACCGTTTTCAAGTTCATATATGGATTTTAGTGTGATTTAGAAAGAAAGAAAGAAAGAAAGAAAGAAAGAAAGAAAGAAAGAAAGAAAGAAAGAAAGAAAGAAAGAAAGAAAGAAAGAAAGAAAGAAAGAAAGAAAGAAAGAAAGAAAGAAAGACATTTTTCACCAAAATTGCTGTAAGACAGAAAGGATATGACATCATTTCATGTGGTTAGGATCTTGAGAACAAGGTAGAAATAATAAATTAGATGAAATGTGATCAATGAAGCGATTATCAACTAATTTATTATAACTCAAATAAATCCTTTATTAATCGAATTATGATTCCCTAGAGTACATAGACTCTAAAACATGAAATTTGCTGAAAAAACTACCCACCAAGAGCAGTGATAAAGCCAAAACTGAACAAAAAGTATACACATTTTGTATAGACATTTAACTTTTAAACTTTATGGAATAAGCAGAGAGCTGCAGAATAAAAGTCATTTCCACCACAACCTGCTGCATAGACCGATCAGAATTGTCAATTTTACAGCAGAGCTTTTTTGGCGATATGTTCATAGTTGTTGTTGTCATTGTTTTCTTAATTTCTGTTATTAAAAAATTGCATAACTAGGCAATTAAGTACATTATTGGTATAACATGGTTCTTGATGATGAACAATTCTCAGTAGGAGTACAATATGAAAATAAAACTACACTTTTTTGTCTGTACCACAGGAAGCTGACACTGAGTGGATATTAAATGAACGATGAACCTTTTAGTACCTTTTTTTTAGCTGCAGATGCATCCTTTGCCATAAATATAGAGTGCTATGACACTTCTTTCTAGAATGTTTATTTTCTATTTCAAAAAAGGAATATCCTTATTTGCTAACTTTTATTTGTTTTTTCCAACATTTCTATTGAACAAAAAATATGCTAAAATATTCAAATAGAATATCAGCAGAAGGGGGCAATGTTTTAAACAATTACTCGATTAATTATCTGAATAATCATTAGATGATTAGATCTGAGTAATCATTAGATTATTTAGATACTACAGAGATCGTAAGCTGCAACCCTAAAGGTTTGTATTCTTTCTTATTGGTTCTTTTTTAATTACATCCTAATAGCTAAATTAGCAATATTCAGTTTTCAAGGCTTTGGTTTTGTCAGTATAATGAAAAAAACATTTTAAAAAGGGTTTGAAAATAATAACATTTTCATCCGTTTTTTTTTTTTTAAACCAAGAATACTGCAAAAAACAAAAAAGTTGGATGAACTCAAAATTTCAGGGGAACAAACTTTGATAAAATTTTAAGTTGGCCAATTAAACTAAATATCTTAAGTTTTGCTTTTGAGTTTTCTCAACTCTGAATTATAATTTTTGTGAACTCAACTCTAAGTTGAGCTAACCTCTAAATTTACATTGTAATAACTTAAATTCTTTATTCTACTAACTCTCTAGTAAGTTGTCCTAACTTCTAATTTTACGTTTTAATGACTTTAATTTCCTTATTCTACTAACTATCCTGTAAGTTGTACTAAATTAAAATTTTACATTGTGATAACTTCAAATTCCTTAATCTACCAACTATCCCATAAGTTGTACTACGTTCAGATTTGTATAAATAATTACAGATGCAACATATACATTCAAAACCTTTGTTTTATTTAAGCTGTACCAGGATCAAAGCCCTTCCAACAGGGCTAGGTAAATGCAAACTAATGAGACCCAACTGTCCCAGTCAACATGTGCTACATTGTTTAGCACATCCTTTTGTAACACTGCTCAATACTGAATCATAATGTATTTATATAGCAAGATGGTTGAGATCACAATGTTTATCTCCTACTTTTTTTTAGGATTAGAGGGGGAGTTGTGGAAATTGTATTAATGGAGGAGCTGCACATTGACATTTTTGTTTGCTCACATTTGTATCTTTTTTTAACAGCACTGTTGGGTGAGGTTTAGTGAATGAAAAATAAACACGGGCAAATAAAAGAAAATAATATAAACCTAAAGAAAGAATTTTGTTACCATGCTTTAAAAGTACTGTTAAAATGTGTCATCATCCTTTGTTACTATAGATACCAGCACACCGTATATGGTGAGTGATGATGTTAAATGATTGGCCGGAATGGCATAGTGCTGTGAGGGAACTGCAGCCCATGCAGGCCATCGTCAAGTTGAGCTACGATCTCTACAATCTGAGATCTATTCGGAGACACAGTTGCTGATGTATTTCTTATTTTTGTGTATTTTTCTTCCACAGCCTGTTAGAGTTATGGATGATTTAATGTGCAGCTCAGCAACTTTCTTACACTTTATCAAAATATATTAGACAAACTTTAGATACTACATCATAGAAAGGCAGATGTGTAAAGTATGTTTTTAATGTATTAGTTTTTGCTTAAACAAATTGAACTTGGTTGTTTTATGGCTGGTTTAATCATGGGATAGTGTTTGGAATAGCCTGGATCTCAAATTTTTGTCTCTTAAACACTCCTTTTTCTTGTCTCGAGGAACAACGCCCACCTTAAAGCCTCACCCCACCCTAAAACCAATCTGAGCGTCATTTTACCACCTTAAAATGGCCAGCCTGACATTTAACACCGTAAAATGACCCCAGAAAAGCTTAAAGGCACAGACATGACACGCGCTATGAGCCAAAAGGGGTGCGTTTATTTATATGTGCTGTCATGATGTCATGTAGTTCTAACAATAACCCTGCTGTGTGGGAAAAGGGAGAGGTTACATGACAGGGAATTGGTGTGTTTTTAAACTTGAATGCAAACATATATATATATATATATATATATATATATATATATATATATATATATATATATATATATATATATATATATATATTATAATCTATTTATTCATAATCAGAATTTCCTCTTTTTTGTTCTTTAGCAGTGGTCCTTTTTTTTTTTTTTTTCTTTTTTTTAAACAGTGGTCCTTTTTTTTAAATCTCAGTAATTCAGCTGTTGCCGTACTGTATAATCATACGAGGACAAGATAAGACCTTTTGGTTCAAAAATTACAAAAGTTACAGCATTTTAACATCAACCAGCTAAAAGCAGGTTCAATATCTCAATACTGCTAAACATATATAAATGTTTGTACCATATGTATATTTGGGAACATTGATTATTACTGTAGGTTATTTTAAAAAATATCAAGACAGTTCTTTTCTTTGCAATATTTCTCATTTTGTGATCGACTGGTCACCTATCGAGGGTGTCCTTTTAAATGCTGGAGATAGGAACTTGCACATATACTGTATCAGGTATGCCTTTTGAATTCCTTGTTAACATTTGTCAATGAGAGCGAAGAAACTCAACAAACTGATTATTAGAATAGGGATATTTAGGTGTCTTTGAATGGCATGCTTGTTAGTGACAGACAAAAGGGTTTCAGTATTTAAGAAACTGTTGCCCTACCAGGTTTTCTCTCACAACTACTTCTAAGATTATAGATCAAAAGGTGAGAACGATGGAAGAAAGATAACAGTTGCTAAAATAATCAACTGAGATGAAAATTACCACCTTTGAATACCAACATGTTGAACCTTGAAGCAGATGCAGATGTGCTACAGCAGCAGAAGATCACATAGTGTCCCTTTCCTGTAGGAACAGGAAATGGAGGAAACTGTTTCCACGGGTTCAGGGGGAATAAAATAAAATAACAGATTGGAAAAAACATTGCGAAGTTCAATGTGCTTCAGTTTTAGTTGCGTATTTCAAATGGTAGGGTCAGATTTTGGAATAAAAAATATGAAGACTTGGATTCTTCCTGTTAACATCAATGGTTCAGGCTGTCCATGGTGGTGTTATAGTTTGGGCAATATTTTCCTCGTACAATGTGGCCCTCTTAACAAATCGACAAAACTTTAAAAGCCAAAGTAGGTGGAAGTCCCAAGATCTTCATCTAGTATTTTTCAATACAACTGTGTCTTCTGCATTAAACCCACCCCTTAAGGAGAAGTGAGAAGCTTGCAGGAAGCATTGTGGAGCTTGAACTGTGGAGATTGAACCAGGCCTTTTCAGACTTCTTAGGAGCAGAACCTCACCCTGTTTTTAGGGGATTTTTTTTTTTTGGGGGGGGGGATATGTGCAACATTCAATTCTGCATCATGGCTTTACAGTTGCCAAAGTTGCAGCACCTGTTTAATGCCCTTATACAAATATAGACTAAAATCCCTGAGGAATGTTTTGCACATAATGTTGAATATCTGTGATGAAAAATAGATTAAGTTCTGAAGACAAAACTGGTGCCACATGTTACCAGCAAGGTGCACCTGATAAATTAGCAAAACATTTTCCATGTTTTGTCAGGGTACTGCCCACTGCTTTGGTTTAGTTTGAGTTTCTTTGTGCTCTGTGTCATTGTAGTTGTTTTCTACCAATACTGAGTTCTTTAAGTTTGTCTCTATTTCCCCCTTGTGTTTGTTTCTTTTCCACCGATCTCTATTCATTCACTGGATTGCTGATTGCCCATTGGTAGTACGGGGTTGAAGTAAAGCCACCGGCCGCCATATTGCTACTTCCTAGTAACACCGGTCGCAATGTAAACAATATGTGTGCCTCAGTATCAAACAATGATGATGTTCTCATTGTCAGGGGGACTTAAGACTTTTAAAATAAAGATAAATCCAAAATTATGAAGTCAGTGAAGTCAATAAATCACGTAATATAATATATTATACAAATCAATCACAATAAAATTCATGTGTGTGTATATATATATATATATATATATATATATATATACAGTATATATATACAGTATATATATATATATATACACACATGAAATGTTTGGTTGCTTTTTCTTTCCTGCATGTTATATTTTCGTGCATGTTATATTTCTTTCGTCAATATAACATGCAATATGTTTCGGCACATGACTTTTTCAAATGAGAAACAAAACAAACACTAAAAAAACGACAGCGTCATCCACTTAATAAAGAAGTTCTACATTGACCTTTAACAGTGAATTGCTTTTGATTTACTTTACTTTCTATTTTCTTACATTAGACACGATGTCATGCTAACTCAGTTTTCCATTCAGTTTGAGATAGCCAGACTAATGTTACGCTACATAGTATACTATAGGATACATTCGTGTTTATATTGATTTTGTAGGTTAGTACATCCACTGATAGTGAAATTACCTGTGAAATGACTTCCCACAGCCAGCAAAATGCTTGTTTTTGCATTCAAAACACTACCCATGTAGGCATTTTTACTGCGTGTCTCTGTGAGAGTGGGGAGTACCAGCATGGCGGACGGTGGCTTCACTTTTTTCGGGCTATAAGCAATCTAGTGAATAAATATAGATGAGTGTTCCTTTCCCCATGGCTTCCTTCTAGTTGGTCTTGCCCACACCTGCTCCCAATCTGCTGATTAGCCCGTCTTCCCATATATACACCACCTCTGCAGTCACTCAGTACTGCTTTGTTGTTGTTTTGTTGATTCCTCATTTCTGGCTTTTTCCCTGATGTGTGCTGATTTTTTGGTTCCTTGTATTTTGATTTTTGGATTTTTGCTTAATCAGATCTACAAGTCTCACCTCCGCTTCTTGATCTCTGCATTTGGGTCCTCAAAAACCTCCACTCAGCTGTGACATTTTTATACTTTTATACACCTGTTTTAAAATACCATGAATTTTAAAGATGATTTAAATAATGTATAACTGGCATTGCAATGCAATCTGTATGATAAAGGAACAATGTTTCTTCTTTCTCAGATTTTCGCTCTCAGTCGTTGAATTTTCAAAAGATCTTTAGACATTTTATTGGTTATTCCTTGCAGTTTTTTTTGCTGATAGTTAATCAAGAAATAAAATAAACCCTATGGCTGTAACCGTGAAAAAAGAAAGTGAGAAAGTTGTGTGGTTTTTAGTTTGGGATGCAAGAGGTCCCTCTAGCAAAGTATTTCACTGAAATCAAGCCAGCCCTCACTGGCTTTTTATCGGTCACGCATACGTACACTATGAAACACGGTAACAATGCTGGCTTGGACTTTTCAAAATAAAATGGTTAATGTTTTTTAACTACAATTATTTATCATTTACACCCCTCTGGTCTAAAATGATTTATGTCTTTCTGTGAATATGGATATAGAAGAACGATTTTAATGTATTTTTTTATTTAGTTAGTGTTTTACATGAAATGTTCGAGCACTTTATTTCAGAATGCCCTTTTTTTTCTACCTGAGTTTCAATTGTTGTTAAACAAAAACTTTATTTCCAGTTTCTTATTTCATTTCAGGGTGAGAGTAGAGCATTCTAACCAGAGCTCATCATAGTCTGATATGGAATTTCAAAATCAAATACTAAAAAAATCTAAAACTCTATCTAATTTTACATGAATATTGCTAAGAAACCTTCTGTTTCTAGTTAATAACGTCATTTAAGGTTGACAGTAGTGCACCCCTTGATGCTTCTCACCAACTATAATAAAGATCTGATGTGGAATATCAAAATTATAGCTTCTCAAAATATGTAAAATTGGTCTCTTTTATCTAAGTCGCTGTGAATATTGCTAAAGAAAACTCCCTGTTTCCAGTCATTTATTTAATCTCAACGTGACAGTAGGACACCACTAGATGCTTTGCACTAGAAGTAATTGAGGCACAGGAAGACACAAAGCAGGATGTACTTCCTGAGGAGACTGAGGTCATTCAACATCTGCAACAGGCTGTTGGAGATGTTCTACCAGTCTGTGGTTGCCAGTGTCCTGTTCTACACCGTGGTGTGCTAGGGGAGCAGCACATCCATGAAGGACACCTCCAGACTGGACAAACTGGTGACTATTGTCAATCGTGCAATATTCCTCTCTCTCTCACTGTGCAAGAACACATGCCAACTAGGCTACTGTATAGTCTCTGTATTTTTTTCACTTTTTTATAAATTAAAATATATTAAACTTATTTGTCCTCCAATATTAACAGCAAAATAGAAAAAAGTTAACAATTTTACAGTATTTGAAGGACTTTCAGAATTTCACATCAGACCTTAGTGATATTTGGCGAGTAACATCTTGGGTTATTTATCCTGAGGTGCAATCGGCAAATGGAAACTGGAAGATTTTAAGCAATATTGACAGTAACTCAGACAAGATAAACTAATTTTACAGATTTTGAGAGGCTTGCTGTAAGCTTGAAGCAAAATCGTTAACTAGAAACAGGGATATTTTTAACAATTTTGACAGCAACTTAGATAAAAGAGACCAATTTTTGAAATGCTTACAACGAAGTACAAATACAGTACTGTAGTTACTTCATTACTGTAGTTAAGTACACTTTTTAGGTGTCTTTACTTTAGTCCATTACTGATTTTTCTTCCTACTTCTGACTTCTACTCATTACATTTTCACACAAGTATCTATTACTCTTGGCTTCAGTTTAATGTTTATAAATATTTATTTCACGTCATGTGCTCCATTGACATCTAGTGAAAACTAGTGTCATTGGATGAGTCATATAACGCAAACACTCATTGGTTAGCTACAGGAAATCATCAGAAGCAAGCAGGTGTTCTTCAAACTGCAAACGTGAATTGTCTATGCCATGCTACAATGATGGATTTAGAAAAAGATGTTGGAATGTCTGAAAGTATCGGGAGATGGAGACCAACAAAACCTCCCTCATCCTTGGCCCTATCTCAAAGAATTTTTCGAAATAAAAATTGTGCTTTAAATTCATATAGGGACATCTGGCCGTTTTTTTAAAGGTTACTTTTATACTTTAAGTAGTTTTGGAGCACATACTTTTTCACTTTTGAGTAGAGAGGTCAAGTTGATACTTCAAATTTTACCATAGTGTTTTTAAACTGCAGTATCTATATTTCTACTTAATCAGAATCAGAAATACTTTAATAATCCCATTACTTTTGTTACACGCTCCAGTTAAAGTTTTATATATCTATATACCCTTCCAACTACACAAGATAATAAAGATAAAAATAAAAAAGATAAAATAAATACACATATAGCTCTTCTATACATATACATATATATATATATATATATATATATATATATATATATATATATATATATATATATATATATATATATATATATATATATATATATATATATATATATATATATATATATGTAAAACTAAATCCAAGTAAAGTGATAAATCCAAGTAAAGTTATACGTGGCGTGCAAAATAGTGCATAGATGCCAATTGGGGGGGGGGGGTCTGAATCATGCGTTATAGAGATTGATGACCACAGGTAGGAATGATTTCCTGTGGTGCTCTGTAATGCAACTGGGTAGGAGGAGTCTTCTGCTGAAGTAGCTCCTCTGCTGGACCAGTGTGTCATGGAGAGGATGTGTAACAAATGTGTGTACTTTTGACACCGCTGTTAAGCTCACATTTTGTAATTCACTCTTTGCAGTTAAACCATCCCCTTAGGCAGGCAGTGGGCTGCCACTGTGTGGCGCCTGGGGAGCAGTGTGGGGTTAAAGGTCACCCAGAGTGGAACGGGGATCAAACCTGGTACTTGCAACCTCCTCAGAGCAAAAGTTCACTGCTCTAACCACTAGTCCAACACTCCCCTATTCTGAAATAAAGTGCACAATTTAACAATGTAAAACACTAACTAAAAAAAAAACAAAAAAACAATCAAAATCCTTTTTGTATATCCATATTCACAGAAGCACATCATTTTTAGACCATATGGGTGTAAATTATAACTAATTATAGTTAATAAACGTTAAACTTTTATTTTAAAAAGTCCAAGCCAGCGTTGGTACACTGTTTCATATGGGTAACCAATAAAGAGCAAGTGAGGGCTGGCTTGACTTCAGTAATGTATCCAAGGTTTCCATAAAACATTGAACTGGTCAGGTCTCACTGGAATCCTAAACCACTAGTAACCATAACTCACCAGAAACAACTTGTTTCCTGTTTACACAACTGTCAGCTGCCCTGCGTAATTCACTGGCTGAGTTGCGTTTGGATGAGTCAGGATTCCCAGCTCATCGCTCTCCTGATAGGACTCGGTTTTGGAGAGAGACTGGTCGCTTTTTATGGAATCCGTTTCCCCAAAAGAGGGATGGTGCTCCGGCTGCCCACAGGTCACATGGATGTACTGCACATTTTCCTCCTCCTCGTTCTCTCTGTGGTAGAAATAGTTGAAATTTGACACAATGACAGGAACAGGTAGAGCTATGGTCAGCACTCCGGCGATTGCGCACAAGGATCCAACGAATTTCCCTCCGATAGTGGAGGGATACATGTCTCCGTAGCCCACCGTGGTCATCGTCACCACAGCCCACCAGAACGCATCAGGTATACTGGAAAAAACCGTGTCAGGGTCTTCAACTTCAGCGAAATAAACCGAGCTGGAGAACAAAATAACTCCAATGAGGAGGAAGAATATGAGCAACCCCAGCTCCCGAAGGCTGGCGTGGAGAGTCTGGCCCAGGATCTGCAGGCCTTTGGAGTGTCTGGAGAGCTTGAAGATCCTGAAGACGCGCACCAACCTGATGACCCTCAGGATGGCCAGAGAGGCCGCCTGCTGACTGCTGCCCTCATGCTCCGCCAGATCCAAGCCCAGGGTGATGAAGTAGGGCGCGATGGCCACCACATCTATCAGGTTCATGATGTTTTTAAAGAACGCCGCTTTGCTGGGACAAGACAGGAACCTCATGGTGAACTCAAAGGAGAACCACACGATACAAAGCGTCTCCACCATGAAGAAGGGATCTGTGAAGGGATTGGGCGCTTTGCTGTTTGCGCTTCCATTTGCGTGCTGCTCCGGCTCTGGGGGCAACTCTCTGAACTCCGGTAAAGTCTCTAAGCAGAATATAATAATAGATATCAAAATAACCATAACAGAGACAATGGCGATGGAGCGTGCGGGTCCGGAGCTCTCTGGGTACTCAAACAGGAGCCAGAGCTGCCGCTGGTAGGTGTTGTTCGGCAGCGGCCGCTCCTCCTCCCTCGGCAATCCTTCATCGTCCTTGTACAGCTCTATAGCCTCCTCTCCAAGTTCATAAAACTTGAGCTCCTCCAGGAAAATGTCTACAGGTACACCCGCGGGCCTCCTGAGCCTCCCACCTGACTGGTAATAATAGAGGATTGCATCAAAGCTTGGTCTGTTCCTGTCAAAGAAGAACTCGTTCCTCAGCGGATCGAAGAAGCGCGTCCTTTTACGCGGATCCCCCAGCAGCGTGGCCGGGAAGCGCGACAGTGTTTTCAGCTGCGTCTCGAAGCGCAGGCCCGATATGTTGATGATCACCCTTTCGCTGCACTCCTGGTCCGCAGGTTCCAAGTCTGCAGCATCGCGTAACAAAGGGGTGATAGTCACAGCCTCGTCCTTATGGTCCTGGGACACTACAGTCATGTTTTTTTTTTTCTCTACCCCCTCTGAGGGTAAACCCGCCACTCACCTCCCTGATGTCTGCCTTTGTCCTCCAAAATCAATCTCTCATGCGGGTCCTCCACTTTAAGATGAAATTAAAGTTTCTTTCTTTTTTTTTTTGCCTCCCAAGCAGCTGCAGTTGTTATGTCCAAAAAACGTTGTGTTTTTTGTTTTCACACCGACCTCCTGTCAGATTAGTGCCTCCGAACTGTCAACTTTCAATAGTGCATGGAGATCTCCACTTGCATAAGCAGGACCAAGGGCTCCAGATGGGCTATCATATTCACACAGTTTTAAACTCCAGAGCCCTCCCCATGTTATAGGACCGGGTGACACTTGCTGCTGCTTCTGCTGCTGCTGCTGCTGTCCCTCTACTATCTCATTTCAGTCTAGGTAGCTTAGTGGGATTTTATTTTTACTTAAACTTTCAAATAACTTTTTTTTTTTTCAGATATTCTAGATCAGCAAAATATACACTGCAAAAAACTATCTCAAAATGAGTAAAAATGTCTTAAATTAAGTGTATTTACCCTTAATTTGAGCAGGTAAATACGATGATTTGCCAATGGAATTAGTATTTTTACTCTTAAAATACGCTATCTAGATATTATGCACTTGAAATAAGACAATGCAATTGTTTTTTCTTGTTTAAAGTGTAAATTGTCTTGTTCCATTGGCAAAGTGTCTCACTTCAATCCTTAATTCAAGAAAAAATGCACTAATTTTAAGAAAAAATGACTTATTTAGATTTTTTTTTTTTTTGCAGTGTATTAAACATAAATGGCTTTTTAAACGTTTCTACTTAGATTATTTTGGACTTGGAAAATAGCCCAGACAGATTAATTACATTTGTAAGTTACAGATTCTCAACTAGATTCAGCACTAGACTTTGACTTGGTCATTTTTGATGAATAACATCATGCTTTTATTTGATATAAGTCATTTCTGTGGGACTCTGGCTACTGTTTTTCTGCTGAAAGATAATCTTCATCCCCAGTCTTGTCTTCTACGTCCTCTGTCAGGTTTTCTTCCAGGTGTGCTTTGCATAGCTTTACCCCTCTTCCATCTATCCAAAGCATGTGCTCTCATCCATGCATCTGACCCTCCTCTCTGTCTCTGTGGAAAATAAGCATCATTACGGAGATGGTTTTGTATTTTGCTGTAAACATTTTGCATGATGGGTAAAAAAAAGCTGAGGTTTTTAAGTCTTCAGGTAGGAGCATCTTTTTCTAGATGATTTATCTCCATGATAATAAACAGTTTTACAAAACCTCATAGACTAAATAATACGATCAACTCTATTCACTGAACGTGAGACGTATTATCCAGTAGTTGTTTTTGCTCAAAATGCTAATAAGACACTTTGAAATTTGTGGTTCTAAAAAGAAAAACTCAGAGAGGGTTTAAAGAGTCAGTTTACAAGTAGGGATGCACAATATAATCGGCCCCCTATCGGTATCGACCTGTATCGGCCTTAAATGTGAATATCGGACATCGGCCACCCCATCGATATTTAACCCGATATTTGATCAGCTTCTGAGTTTCTAAAGTCTAAAAAAATAAAAAAATTCTACTTCTTCTTCTTCTTCCTCAAAAAATTCTTTTTTACAGACTTAAAAACTTCTAAAGACGAGGGAAAAAATATTGATACCTTAAAATATCACAATATCTTCATATGCTGATTTATTGCCATTTAAAAACACCATATCCATCTCTTTTACTAATGAAATATTGCTATATGTCATCGTTATGCTACGAAATCCCCCAAAAATTCACGAAATGTTGCCATATTTTTATATGTTGATATATTGATGCGGTATCTATCTATTTTACTAACAAAATCTCACAAGAATTTGCAAAATTTCACGAGATTTTGAAAGTAAAATAGATCGATACTGCGTTTTTAAAAATCTATTTGATATCAGCATATGAAAATATATTGGAGTATATTATTTTTCAAAGTGTCAAAATGGATAACAAAACTGCTATTTTCAATGACTACTTATTTTTGTTCAGCTTTAACATCGGTATCGATATCGGTTATCGGCTACATGAATTTTAAAATATCGGCATATCGGATATCGGCCAAAATCCCACTATCGTGCATCCCTATTTACAAGGTCATGTATCAAACACAGAAAAGCCACGTTGTTTTCAGCTCAGCTACAAAGTCTTGCTCTCTGCAAGTTCTTTAATCATTAAATCAGAAGGTTATTCTTGTCTCACAGGGAAACACCAGGACTCCGGCTGGATAAACTCCCCACTCCTCGAGCACAGATGAGCCTGATAAACAGATCAAGCTAATCATGCAAAGTGAATTGTTCTCTTTTCTGTTAAATATGCTTTGAAAATAAAAAAAAATACTGAATGCTCCTAGAACTAGTGGTCATACCAGCCCCTGCCAGTGGAAAGTGCTGGCCTCACTGACACCTGAGTAGCAGGAGAGGACAGAGCCTTCAGGAAGCCACAGCCAAAATAACACTCATCTTTAGCTGCTCTGTAATTAAGGCTCAGTAGTAAAACTTTGAAGTGAGCGGTGTCTAGAATACAAGTGGCCTCAGTGTTTTTGGTGGGGGATAAAAAAAAATCTATTTCTAGATAGGATCTTAGATCAAATCGAGTTCCTAAAAAGCAGCAGTGTGCGATTATACATATATTTAAATGTATTGTATCCTTTCTCCCACACATTTTATTTACTCAAGGCTGACACAAAGTTGCCCAGTTAAGACTGTAAACTCCTGCAATCTAATTATAACTAGTTGTTTTCAATTTTGCTGATTTCATAATGCTGTATATAAGGGATCACAGTTGTTGGCTCAACAATAACTCCAAGAATAGCAGGGCTGGTGTTAATCAGAGCAACTAATGCAGCACGGATGGTTTGCGTTAATGTGGAGCTCTAAACTTACCAGGAAGAAAAAACCTCAATGCTGAGAGGGAAATTACTTTTCACAGAAATATCACAGGAGACGGATTTTTCATGTCACTGCTGGACAAAGACACCGATTTAAAGTGAAATATCATGTTTCAGGGCCCTGTGCCACCTGCTGCTAGTGTGTTAGCCTATAGCACGAGGCGAATGTCTGTCTGGGTCACGCAGCCATGTCAGGTCATGACTGTATCCACCGAAACATACAATAACAAACAAGCAATGACACGTGACTCTAATCTCAGCCTGAGCAAGTGTGAGGAATGTAATTGTTTAATACACATCGACGTGACATTCCTGCGAATTCAGAGCAATCTGCAGTGAAACTCTCATCGCTGTTTGACATGAGTGTGTTGTTTGCTTTTTCGTGGTCTGGTATAAAGAACAGCTATGTAGAGGTTTATAGGGTGGACTTAGCTGTGTGGCTGAATGTCCTGAGGGAGACGTGCCATAAAGCTGGCAGGAGGATCGACTGCTGACAGTGAGGAGCCTCCCACCGTTATTAATGGCTCAGCCTATGAAGGCAGGAGACCCCCGCTTTGAAAAGTACTGTTAAGTCACTCAAAGTGAGGGAACATCTTACCTTTCATTTTTGTTGGTAAAGATGAATCAAACTGGATGCTCTAACAATGACACCTTTATTTCTACTGGTGTGATATCAGCATCCATTTCCCTTATTTTTTCAATTTTAGATTTGAATATTAAAATCTTTTCAATTTTATTTTATTTTTTAGGCCCTATGTTCTAATTTTTTACAACGCCTTGCTTTTTAAATTAATGTGAGGTTATGGCAACAAACCTTGATGTATTCCAGTAGGACTGTAGTTGTCTATGATTTTGAAGTGGAAGGAAAAATGATGCATGTTTTTTTTAAAGTGTATCACAGATACAAATCTGAAAAGTGTGGTGTGCATTTTTATTTGTTACAGAAAAAAAGTGAACAAATAACATAATTTAAACCAAGGTAAATTACAGAGAGACCAGCTATGAAGCTGTGGAAAGGTTTAAGGTTGGGCTCTACAGTAAAAAACACCCCAAGCTTTAAGCATCTCTCAGAGCTCCTACAGTCTGCCATCTTAAGATAGAAAGATCATGGGATGATCACAAACCTACGGTGGCCCTGAAGTGCAAACTGCAACTACAAATCTAAAAGCGCAACTACATTAAGGAAATCGCAACTACATTAAGAAAAACAAAACTACATAAAGCAAAGCGCAACTACATTAAGAAGTCATTCTGCCTGCTGCGGCTTTTGAAAACATGGATATTGTCGGCGCCCCAAACATAGCTGCCGTTATCAAGGAATATTTTTAATCAGGGCATACGTACGAGGTGATACTGGATATGCTCAGAACTAATCACGAAATTTCAGTTAGTTTGCGTACACTGAAGACACACTTAAAAGAAGCTGGACTGTTCAGACGACGCAACTTCCAGTTCAAGGGTCAAACGGCGCCATCGTCCAATCAGCGATGTCTCATGTTTCCCACTGGTACCTACCTTTTCCGGTAGGTTAATGTAATTGTGTTTTCCTTAATGTAGTTGCGCTTTGCTTTATGTAGTTGCGATTTTTTAATGTAGTTGCGCTTTTAGATTTTTAGTTGCAGTTTGAACTTCAGGGCCACTGTACAAACCTACCAAGGCTGACCACCTTAACTGACAAACTCTGAGAGTAGTTGAGAGGTTCATAATGACTCTGGAGGAGTTGCAAAGATTCACAGATTGGGTAGGATTATCAGTATATAGGAATTTACAGAAGGATGAGAGGAGGTAAACTAAATGAAGTCCCTTTTAAAGTTTTCCCCAAGCCATAGACAGGACGGAGCAGCATGCTAAGAAACATAGTCTGGTTAAATGTAAAAAAAAATTGTATTTCTTATTTTCTTAGAAACTAAAGAATACATTTGACTTGGCTTTGAATACAACATGCGCCCAGAGAAACATGTAGTTTGGGGATTATTTTCTTCAACAAAGGCCAGGAAGATCATCAGAGTTAAAGAGAATATGGATTGAGGTAATTACGGGTCAATCAAAGAGAAAACCCCCCCACAAAACATAGGTTGATTTTCGAGCAGCAATCTTAACCTAAATATACAGTTAGATCTACAATTTCATTCTTTAGATAAACAATATTTTCTGTACCACCAGAGCCCAGAACGAAAAAGGAAAACTTGTGGCTGCAGCTTGACATTGCTGTGAACAGGCCATCCATCCTATCTGATAGAAACTGGGCTTCTGTGCACAGAATGATCATAATATTCTGTCTGTAGATCTGCAAAGCTGGCGTTGACGTCTCCTAAATGAACACCAGATTTAACTGCAGCAAAACATGTTTCTACTAATCAATCACAGACTCAGAGAAGCTGATAGAAAATGTAAAATCGAAATTTGATATCGCTAA